GTGTTATAGTAAAAATAAATAAATAAAATGTCTTTACAATTGAAAAGACCGACAGGTATTTTATTGTATGTATTGATCTAGCCATGTATTCTCACAGACGAATAGCTCATCTAACATGTTCTAATTCGATCTAAATAATTCGAGTATTCGTAGACATATAAAAAAACATACCGGTTTTATGGTCAAGTTTATAGCGGGCATTATATTCTTTATTGTACACACAAAAAATTACAAATATATAATATATATATATATAAAATAAAGATGTACAACAGGCGAGCTTAACTCTGTAAGAGTTCTCTTCCAGCAAACCTTGAGTGGAGAGGAGCATTAATTACCAGCGGGCAGTGTGCGTACAATAATAGGAGGAAATAGTTTTTTATACAACTAAATGGTAACCCCGTCTGCGCTAACGGTATACACTGGCGGGGCACCAGTGAGGGATGATAGGTGAGCACGAAAACAGGTCTGTTAGCTCAATCGTGACATGTGCAACAAGTATTAGTCACAATGGTTTCCAGGGGGAACCGCGTGGAGGTCGACCTGACAAGGGTAGCTAGCAATAGGGCCATTAATCCTCATTACTAACAATCCCTTTCTCCCCGGCGACCGCAGTTAGGTTTGGAAGTGTTTTAATTGGGTCGCTGCTACTCGTCTCTCGTGCTCTTTTAGTCTCCTACGAGACCTACCGAAAAGGAAGGGGTGGCCTATTCTATGCTGGGACCACACTTCATTCATCATCATCATTTCAGACATTATAAGTCCACTGCTGGACATAGGCCTCTCCCATAGACCGCCATAAGGAACGGTCCTGAGCCACCTGCATCCACTGACTACCTGCAATGCATTTAAGGTTGTCACTCCATCTAGTGGGGAGAGGGTCGTTCTACACTGCGTTTGCCCGTACGAGGTCGCCACTCAAGTGGTTTCTTTCCCATCAGTTGTCGGTTCTTCGAGCTATGTGACCAGCCCATTGCCACTTCAACATGCTTATCCATCGAGCTATGTTCTTTGGTTTTTTATTTATACGCAATTTAGAATACATTTTTATTTATTTATTTATTCAACTCTTTATTGCACCATAAATAAAAATATAGTGTATAATTCAAGTGTATAATTCAAGTGATATACAGTAACATAAATACAGATTGAAATATACACATAAAGGTAGAAAAGGCGATCTTATCGCTAGTGCAATCTCTTACAGGCAACCTTTGGTTAAAGGAGAACAGATAGAAATGGGCAGGTGGCGCAAGAGTGAATTAATAAATTTATTTAATTAATTATTTATTAAGTTTTATTAAAACAATAACTAAAGTGAGAAGCAAACGTCTTTATGGTAATTCCCAGTAAGAAAACTCATCGGTAACACGACTAATAGTAACATTTATAAATATTAATGAAACCATTATTTGAATAATTCGAATATTAAAACAAAAACGCTGCAAAATTTTTATACTGCTGATACGTCCACACACCTGATTATTTAACAGCGGTTTTTTTTTTATAAGAATTTGACAAATGATGGTAAATAAAGCGGTCATCCACCGCCATTATTGATTTCAAACGCGTCACCATTTTAAATAGATAAGTACCTACCGATCACGTGTCGTTTAATACAGATATTTATGTAATTTTATTAGAGAGAGACGATACGAATGCGTTGATAACGCAGAAAAAACTGTCGGCGGTGCATACCTGATACAAGCATGCATACATGATTTACCAGAGGGAGACTTTGTACAAAAGTCGTTTGCTTGGGTACCTCTGTCCCATTCGTGTTTCTACCGTGAAGCAGTTGTGTTTGCATGGCTGTGTTTCGGTTTGAAGGGTGGGATACGGCGTGAATTTACTGGGTACAGAGGAATAACACCTGAGTCCTCAGGAATGGCAACGCATGGGGGGGATCATGGGCGAAACAGTATACTGTTATGTCCATGGTATTGCTCATGTCTATGGGCGACGGTTTCCGCTTTACATCAGGTGGGCCGTCAGCTTGTTTGCCATTCTAAGTAGTATAAAAAAAAAAAAAAAAAAAAAAAACTGTCGGCGGTGCAAAAATGTAAAAATAATACAAGCTAATAAATAATAAACTATTGAATGATGTGTATGGCATATTGGTGTCAAAATTAATAAAATTATTTAAGTTTTTTTATTAATTTGAATTTTAATACAGACAGAAATAACACTTCTTGTTACAATCCTGTGGTAAGGATGTTTTTTTTTATACAACTTAGAATGGTAAAACAAGCTGACTGTCCACTGGATGGAAATTGATAACCGTCTGTGGAAAGTGGTAACCGTCGCCTATAGACATGAGTAGTACCATGGACATAACAGGGTATACTGTTTTAGCCATGATACCCCCATGCGTTGCCATTCCTGAGGACTCAGGTGTTATTCCTCTGTACCCTGTAAATTCACGCCATGACGTATCGTCATTATAACGACTTACTGCTCGACCACAAACCCATCGACATATTCCGTATAGAATATTTACTCTTTACGAAAACTTGTTTTCTATTTTGTTAAATATGATTAAAATATATATATTTTTTTATATATAGTTTTATCTTTTATATATTTTATGCATTTTATGTATTTTCTTTATTTTATGTGTTTATTTACATGAATGTAACTACTATTTAAGTTATTTTTTTTTATGGTCGTACATAATGAAATGTTTTATATAACCAAACCAAACAGAAATTTGAATTACAAATGTTTGGAAATATTAAAAATTTAAAATAGTTCCTTTTTTTTTTTTGACGAACGAAATGTTGATCTGTTTTATCTACATCTACACTAATATTATAAAGAGGAAAAATTTGTATTTTTGTGTGTATGTATGTTCGTAATGAATAAATTAAAAAACTACTTTGCTGATTTCAAAAATTCTTTCACCATTAGAAAGCTACATTCACCCTGAGTAACATAGTTTATATTTATCGCTAGAAACAATTAGGGATCCTTACTAAAACTTTAGTAACGTAACTGAAGGAAAAAAAAAAATGCTATAAAATATCTTTGGTCGCGTGCGCTGCGGAAACTATTGGTGATAGAACAAAAGTATGTTCTACAATATTGAAGGAAATATCGATAACTACAAAAAGCTTCTCGATATTATATGTCCAACTATTATCGTTATGTTACAATAACCACTTTTTAAATGTTGTAAAAATGTCCACCCGTGCGAAGCCGGGACGGGCCGCTAGTGTGTCAATAAAAATAAAATAAATAAATATTACGCGTGGATTTCGACGAGGACAGGTCTTCTAGACCAGCGATTCATAATGTGGGTTCCGCAGAACCTAGGAGTTCCGTATCTTCACATTAAAAATTCTATGAAACTATACAATGTTATACTTTTAAAATATTTCTAACAAAAGCTTTTGCTTTTATTTAAATTACTGTGTTTTTGATTCGTAGTCTTTTGATATGGGGATTTCCATAAAATTTCTTTTTATATTTGATAGGCGTTCCGTTATCTTAAAAGGTTTTTTTTTAACAGGTGATAATGGTATGGTAACTCCACCCGCGTTATCGGTATACACTGGCGGGGCACCAGTGAAGAGTGATCTATGAGGATGAAAACAGGCCTGTTAGCCTATCATGATGAATTCATCAGGAACAGCGCCATTACTACTAATATACCCTGTCAGGTCGACCTCCACGTGGTTCCCCCTGGAAACTATCGTGACTAATTCTAGTTTCGTCAGGATGGGCTGACTGACCTGCTTTCATCCTCATCTGTCATCCCTCACTGGTGCCCCGCCAGTGTATGCCGATAGCGCATACGGTGTTGCTATACCATTATCACCCATTAAAAAAAAAACTAGCTGTCCCATTGCAAGCAATATTGTCCTATCAGCTCGACCTCCACGCGGTCATCTAGAAAATATCGTGGTTAAATCCTAGTGAAATCGTTACGATGAGCCAAATGATTTGTTTATATCTTCACCTATCATCTATCACTGGTGCCTCACTAGTATATACCGATAGCGAGGAATATGCATAATTGAATCCACGATAAACATTTGCCGTGTGGTCCCTGCATAGAATAGTCCACCCCTTCCTTTCCCGTGGGTATCGTAATAGGCGACTAAGGAGAGTGAGGGATGGACAGCAGCGTCCCTCTTAAAACACCTCCAAAACCCAACTGCGGTTGCTAATCCGTTTGCCAAACGTGGCAACTACTGGCAAAACCCTCCATGGGGGACGCTTATGTTCAGCAATGAACAGTTAAAGATTGATCTGACGATCCTTTCCTGTCACATATACTCGTACTATATATATACTAAATTTCATAGTGATCGGTTAAGCTGTTAAGGCGATATACAAATAAATATATACAAACAAACTCACTTTCACATTTATAATAATTAGTAATCTATACTTATAATAAATCTGTAGAGAGGTCAATTCTGTACATGAAATATATTTCCAAAATAACTATCAGGGGGTGATTAATGATCGATACTGATGGCAAAAATGCAATCAGTAAAATTTTTGTCTGTCTGTCTGTATGTTCGTTATAGAAACAAAAACTACTCGACGGATTTTAACGAAACTATTCTTCATACTCCTGTGCAGGTTATAGTATACTTTTCATCACGCTACGATCAATAGGAGCAGAGCAGTGAAGGGAAATGTTGGGAAAACGGGAGAAGTTACTTTAATTTTAAGCCTCCGTCGCGTGTGCAGCCCTTAATGGCCACTTTTTAAAATGTAAAAATGTCCACCCGTGCGACGCCGGGACGGGCCGCTAGTAGACATTAAAATAATAGGGGTGTACTTTTTCTCACATCGTACGTATTCCGAGCTATGAGTACTGAATCAGCATTATCGACTACTATTCCTATGGCACATCACTATTTACAACTGAACGAAGTACTTTAAAAGCGAAGAAACTAATAAAAAAAAAAAAAACAAGAAACTTTTTATTTGATAAAAATCTTATGAATGAAAGATAATTTAAAAATATCACTAATATACTTTACCTTAACGGCCAGTTCTTACATTGTTCACAAACACTAATATTTTTTAATTATAAAACAAAATAAAAAAAAAAAAATAACGACTAACGGTTTTTATAGATGGCAATAAAACAATAAATGTTCAATTAATAAAACCCGACGCGTTCGCGGAAGTATTTTTGTACAATATCTTTATTATTATAAATATATTACGAACGTGATTTTAGTGAGGGGAAAGTGGCGACTGACGACTACATCGATTTCTCCACGAATGGGCCGCTTCGAGCTAAGAGTACGGCTGTTGCGACACTCGCAAGGGAGTCTACACACGCCACGATGATAATGACTTCGTTTACTCAATAAAAAAAACAGGTATAATTATGTCATCTAGTGTTTAAGTCTGTATTCATAAAATCATGGCTGACTTTTAACACCTTTTAAACCTTAGAAAATTTAGAAAATTGAAATTTGGAACACAGTTTTTTTTTATATTCTTTTTTTTTTTGTATCCTGTTTTTACAGGAAACGCTTAGCCTAATGTAGGAATCAATGCTACATTTCATATTTATACATACATTCTTTAATAATAAATCCTTTTTATTTTATAACTAAAGCACCCGAAAAAAAAGATTTTGATAAATTTCAACTTTAAGGAGAAACAAGACGCTACGCGTGCGAAACCGCGGGCAATAGCTAGTCTCTGCATATAAAAGATAATTAACGAATGCGTCCACTGTTTTGCTTTATTTTGCTGATGCAAAATGTTTTAACAATTTAGAATGACAAATGTGTTGAATTGCTGATGACTCAATTGATGGGCGATCACCTACATTCATGAACAGTATCATGGACATCACAAAATATAGTACGACATCCGTAAATCCCCTCATGCTTTATCATGCTTGAGGGCTAATGTGCTATGTCTGCTTCTTTGTAATTTCACTGTCAATGCTACATCCGTGACACAAAAAATCAATCATGCAACAGCTGTTTAGCGGCACAATTATAAATATACTCAAATACCAAATATACTTACCTAATAATGTTATAATATTTTGGATCGTATGGCGTTTATGTAGTATTCCAAATCGAAGTAAAAAAACTGTGTTCAAGCAGAAAATTTAACATTCATTCATTAAAATATATACAATCTTTACATTGTAAAAAAAAATTACACACTATTTATTTATGATTTAGTATTAGTATTATTAGTATTTATTTATTTAGTTTAGTAATGGTTTAAGATCTGCTACTGGTAGTCGCCAATATTTAGTAAATAAAACTTCATTCATTCATTGCTTGGTTTTCCTTCTGACAGATTTTGGCATGTCTCATGTGTTACAGTTCTTAACGACTAAGATATAAAGTCTATAATATTACAAACATATATTCTATCTATCTATCTATCCTATTTAAGAGCTGCGCTCTTTTCGGTGGAGCTCTTGCCACTCACTACGATTTTCAGCGAGTCTCTTCACCTCCTGATACGACACGACACCAACTCCTTCCTTGATCTGCCTGATGTAACTACGTCTCGGTCATATATTCAGTAGGTATATATATTGGTATCTATTTTCATATGCACTGGGCCCATAACAGTAGTCAAAAGGGGGGTAAAGAGGTTTCTTCAGGGTTGGCAACGCGCGTGTAATACCTCTGGTATTGCAGGCGTTCATAGTCTACGGTAACCGCTTACCATCAGGTGGGCCGTATGCTTGTTTGCCACCTCAGTGGTATAAAAAAAAGTATACTGTTCCAGTGCCTCTGCAACGGGCTAATCTGGCTCTCTGCGATTATCTTTTGGATTATGTCAGAGATTGGACTTCTTATTCATCTGACCGAAACATAGCATGCATTTATGTAAATATCAACAAAGCGATGGTGCAAAATATTATGTCACTAGTAAAGTATAGGCAATTGGAGCTTAGAGTATGCTATGCTATGTGCTAGATTTATAGTAGGTAGGTACGATTACTTCATTTAGATACATAATTACACATGCGTTTAACGTTTACTTAGCTTTTATTAATATCTATGTGCCGAACCTTGCAGGCATTTTTGTTACTTTAATTTTATATTGTACACGCCGATATGGTAGAATGTGGAATAATGGACATATAATTATTATTTTCATCTAATGTATGTACCCATATTCGTGCAATAAATGATTTGAATTGAATTGAATTGAATTTGAATTTTTTTTACAATTAAACGAACATTAGTAATTAAACGACCATATTTTACTTGACATTCTTGTCAAAATTATAAAAAAATGGCTCTTTTGAAGTTCCTCGATTTTCTGGCTAAAGTTAAGGTATGAGAATGTTCTAGTTTTTGGTCCAAAATCATTAGGTTATAATAAATGGATCGACGTAATGATTAAATAATGATTTTTAAACATTTTATTGTACAATTACTATTTCAAAATAAACACCCTAATACTATTTTTGTTGTAGGTTTTTCTTCGCTATGTCTCTCATAGTGAAAGGCTAGCGTATATATGTATATGTATATATATATATATATATATATATATATATATATATATATATATATATATATATATATATATATATTATATCGACAAGCTTTTCTTTTTTTTTATTTATTTATGCAGCAAGTATATAGGCACTCTATATATATATATATATATATATATATATATATATATATATATATATATATATATATATATATATATATATATATATTTTTTAATTACTTATCTCTAATTATATATCTAGATTAACTATCTCTTCTATTTAGATATTTATAGTTTATGGTTATTATGCAATTAGTTCAAATATATATATATATATATATATAATGATTTATAATTTATCGACATAGTTACAATCCCATCACTAATATCGTTGTTCTTTTATTATATTTAAATACATTTTATGGATATTTATAAAAATAATAAATAATCGAAGATTTTGTTCTACAAAAGGAAACAAAAACAGACTTTAATTATGATACAACTAGTTATTTTTATTTAAAAACTTAATTACTAAACCAATTAAATTATGTCAGTTTTTTTTTTGATGGATGAAAATGGTATGGTAACCCCGCCTGCGCTAACGGGATACGCTGGCGGAGCACCAGTGAAGGGTGATAGATGAGAATGAAAACAGGCCAGTTAGCCCATCATGATGAATTCATCGGGAATTAACCATGATAGTTTCCAGGGGGAACCACGAAAAGGTCGACCTGGTTGGGTATATTACTAGCAATGGAATTCTCAGTCTCCATTACTAACAATCCCTTTCCCCCCAAATTATGTCAGTTGTAAATCGATTTGGAAAATGATATTTTTTTTTGAAAGAATATACTTATAGATTGATTCAATGGAAACTTTATTAAAATCGCTTCAGTAGTTTAGTTTTTAAATAACAAATACAAATAGCTTTATTATGTTTGAAAAGTGGTATAAAGGATGGTACATAATATTCAAATATGGTTCACACTTTTCACCAGAGTCTGGCGTACACAATTTATTGAATCGTGCTACTATGCTATGCTACTACTATTTTACTTATATACGTCACAGTATATAAATGTCAACATATTTACGTATTAATAATAAATTATATAGATTACGAATTACAATCAATTAATCGAGTCACATATTTAAGCTTTAAAATTATTAAAATATTCATTAACTGAGTAAAAACATTTTTCTGTCAGCCACCTTTTTACACGTAGTTTTTTTTTAAAGAAATTGTTTGCGACAATCGAAGTCGGTTTTAGCGTAGAACGCAATTTATTTATACTTATTTATTTTTACGCTATCTTGCAATCAGTCCACCTGGAGAGTATTCCTGTACGCGGTTTCAATTCTAATATTTTTTTTCCCATTTACCGTCCCTCAATGGAATTGGCCAGCTCACTGCCACTTCAACTTGCAAATTTTGAAGGCTATGTCGCCTATTGTGGTTCTAGATTTGACCTTTTCATTTCGGCTCTTATCCCTCAAAAAAACGCGACCATAACTCTTCTTATTTTGTGTGACATTTAGTTTTGTATGTGGTAAACTTTTTCCATTAGATGGACCATTGTCCAGCTCGTTTTTTATGCAACTTAGAATGGTGACGGCCCATTTGACGGAAAGTGGTATCTGTCGCCTATAGACATGAGCAGTACCATGGACATAACAGAGTATACTGTTTCCCCCATGATACCCCCCATGCGTTGCCATTCCTGAGGACTCAGGTGTTATTCCTCTGTACTCTGTAAAATCACTTCCATATCCATTCAAACCGAAACACAAACATAACTGTTTCACACTAGAAACACGAATGGGACATAGGTGCCCAAGCAAACGACTTTTGTACAAAGTCTCCCACTTGTTTACTAAGTTGTATAGGAAAAGAAAACAAAAAATAAATAAATCTTTAGACGAGAAAAGTAATAAAAAAGTCAAGTACCTAATGAAGGGAAAGTACCATACTATGAATGTCAGTAAATTTTACTAAATATAAATGTACTTGTGTAAGTTATGCATCACTGTGTGTACGTAGTGATGTACCCAATCAACCGTTTTGGTACTCACTCAATCAACCGTTTTGGTACTCGGCAAAAAGTATCGATTGCGAGGACTCCGCTAAGTACCTCGGCGGTGGATGGTGAATGCTCGATAGACCTCAGTATTCAAGCGAAATTTTATAAAGACGTGACTGCTAGTACCTACTTTAAAAGGCCTTTTTAAGTGGCTGGAAAGTAATTCTAAATACTCCAATGGGTAAGTGTTCAGAAATTCATTACCTTTTTTTTTTATAATTTTTTAAGAAAAATAATAAAATTATGAACCAAAAACTTATGATACAATAAATACGCGATATTCAATAGTATACGAGTACTGTATTTGTCAAGTATCTATATATATAAATAAATATATATATAATATAAATATATATATAAATAATAATAATTCGTCGATAAATCATTGGCTTTTTCAATATAATTTTCCAGGAGGAGGCTTGGTTCTTTAAATAGAGCGCATATATACACTTAAATATGTGTTTGCAAAGCTTTGCTCGCATTCTGGGTTGAGCATCGGGCAATTCAGGGATGGGCCCGAATACTTTTACCTCCTAAGTCGAGTGATGAGGTGAAATAATGATTAGTAAAATGGTCTAGCAGCCATATTGTTAGCAATATACTCGTAGTTTGTCAAGACGACTTTCACACGGTCCATCCTGGAAATTTTGTTAATTCTCAAATCATTTTTATCACGATGGGTTAACAGACTTGACTTCATTCTCGCCTATCACCCTTCACTGGTGCTCCGCCAGCGGTTACTATTCTATTATTAATTCACTGGTGC